AACTAACTAATGAAGGATCTAGAATAGTATTCATGTGCTGGACGTGAGAAGCTGTTGAACTGAGTTTCTGGTTTGCTGGTGGCTGGTGGACTGAAGAACGTGGGCTGCTGATCTGCTATTGGGCTGATTTGGGTTGGAGAATATTTCAACACCGCTAAACTCAGTTGCTCTAAAATAGATAGAATTTCTCACATGCAAACAAGCATTACAATGTACACTAAACTCAGTTACTCTAGACTTTCATTTCATAACGATAATTGAGGCAAAATAACCAGATCGTACTTATCAAAAGCATTCAACATATGGAATTAACAGTTTCAAGACCCATGTAACTCAATTGTAGTAAATATTAGAAACTCTCAGAAAATATGTACCAAAAAAGTGGAAATGCTCGAAATAGAACCATTCAAAAAATGGGAATGTGCAACATAATATTAGAACACAGAAATTAGAGATTAGTTGTACATAATCGATGTCAAAAGACCAAACTGCAACCTTTTTATAGTACACTGAACTTCTACATAGTTGCAAGGAAATATTGAAAATCCTTAAGAATTAGAGAATTACAAGAGATTCCTGAAAAAAGGGGCTGCTTAACAAATACAGTTGTTACACGAAGCAGAGCGCAGTTACATCCATTATCAATCTCCATGTCTGTTGAATCAATAACTGGAACTGATACATAAGGGACATTGAATTCACATCTCAATACCATATTTTGCATATTCCCTTGAAGACGAACAAGCTACAATCCAATTTAACAAGTACCCAGGCAAACTGTCAGTGTATCATTCCGACCACCCTATTGAAATCACGAGACTCCGATTGCAAAACAATGAACTCCAAATATAGATTCAATACCATTTATGGCTAGTAAGAGGAGTCTATAGAAGACTAAACTTTATTCATAGGTGGAGATTTCCTAAAAACCTTGATCCTATAACAAACAGCGGTAACACTATTGAGAAAAATACGTTTAATCAGAATATGTCATTTAAAAATGGCTTAGAACAACCTCAGGTTCAGACCACAATTACGAAAATATTTCCCTCCATATCCAGTGGGAGCAGTTGCCCCCATTGGACTCATGCTCTGCCACTGCTTGAGACAATTAACAAATATGGTTCATTCTAGATCAAATTGTTAGAAGTAACCTTGACCATGTAGCATAGAAGCTTGAATTCATCGTTGCGGTAATCCATATGGGTTGGATTGATTGGATCCCTCTTGAAAGCATTTCTACACCTCATAACTTCTTGCAGAGCATCATTAATTTGTATAGGATACGGCAGCAGAAGAATCCATCTCTATTAACAAATCCGACTGACTAAGTAAAAGCACAAGAAGGATCCCATAATGGATGGCCCCCAGCTCAACATCGAGTATAGGACAATCACAATAAAATGAGAAGAATGCATAAATGCATCGTCCAAGGTGATAGTGGATGATACCCCAACACATAGTAAAATCATCCCCCGACACATTCATCGATGCATGCCACGAAACCAAGATAGGAGGAGAAGGTAGGGTGGGTAAGAGTAATACCAAATATGGGGGCAATATACAAATCCCCTCACCAGTCCATAAATTGAAATTAACGGCATGTGTGAAAAAAAAGAGTCTGATAAACCCGTCATATGATCCTTCGAGGCTCCATATTACATGCTGTTCGCATTCCGTAGGAATCAAAGAATGAGCAAAGGAATGATAGTGCATATGTGGCCACTCCGAACAAACTGTCCCGATTGTACTAGGTGTGGACTGTAGTAACTTTCTTCAACGCCAGGTTGATTGCAACTCCTGTTAGGCCCTTTATATCTGTGTTAAAGCTTCTGGGATTTGATTTAAACTGATTCAAACACTTAACAGGATTACAGGTTTTGGAGCAAATGTGCTGAATATCTATTTCCTCTGGAGAGACACATTGAAGATAAGAGGGCAAAAAAAAATGTGGTACATGGAAATCATCACACGTGAGAAGTTGTGCAAGAAATAAGCCATTTTTCTCCTTTTTTTTCCCTTGGAACTTTTCGGTTTTCTTGACTGTTGAGTACTTGAGGAAGCATATGACCCTTGTCGTTAATGATTCTCATTTTTCAGTCACGAAAAGGGACCAAATAATTTTATCTTCATTGCACAACATTAATTCTTTTCTGTTACATTACATTAAACCTCAGAAAAATTGCAATTGTTCTACCAGAAATGAAAATGTATATATAATTTGAATGGAAAAAAGCATCAACTAGGTGGATAGAATTCCACACGTGCATCTGCAGAAGCATTACAAAGTATACTCAAACTCAGATAGGACAGCTCACCAATTTTGTGTCTAGCACTGATATCAAACCAGCACTCGAAAGCATTCCATAAATGGCAACTGCAGTTTTACACAGCTTGCAGGATGCAGCATTTTAAATGTAGCATCTGAACTGAAATAAATATTCAAAATTCTCAGAAAATAGATTCATATTGGGGAGCATATATACATACACAAAAAATGGAACTGTGCAAAGCAATATCATAATGAACAGAAATTGGCAATTAATTGTACAAGTTGAATGGATGTCAAAAGGCCAACGGCAACCTTCTTCTACACTCTATAAGGCCAAAACAAAACTTTTACATAGTTGCAAGGATGTATGAGGATCTCGATCCTATAGGAATAATAGGTTCACAAGAGATTCCAGAAAGCAGCTGCTGAACAATTACAAATTAAATTTTCCATTCAATGCCATAGCTTTACATCAGTATACTCTGGCTACAAGAAACTTGCACCTTTTCTTTATCCATTCACAAACGAAATTTTTTTTAGAGCTTGGTTTCACATCCAAGCTCTCTTTCTGGTGCTTATTAAGAAACTTATGCCGGAGCCAACTATTCCACAAAGCAGGGTGGGCTTACATTTACATTATGTATCTCCATGTATGTCGATTCACTAACATGAACTGATACATAGGGTAAACTGATCTAGAATCTCAATACCACATTTTGCATAATCCCTGACGAATAACCTAAGATTGTAGCTTCAACACTTCATCTCTGGAAGCCCTTTGCCTCCTTTTGACCCACTAACAAAGGAGCTGACCCAGTTTAGAAATGACCAAGATTCTGTATTCATTGGATTGTTCTGGTCAGTTTGCACTTAGAAATGAAGATAGTATCTGAATAATTCAGACTGCACAGCTTCAAAAGCTCAGCGGCACGCTGCTTCAGTACTGGACTGCAACCACTCTGAATGACAAGCAGCAGCTTTGCTGCAAGACCGGCATCCACAGCTATTGCCGAGCATTCATCAGGGGAGAGTTTGCACACAGACCACAAGATTGAAAGTGTATATTCTGTACAGCTTTCCGAAACTCTCATAAGTAGTTTAACCATATTCGGTATAGTGTTGGAACAATCCTTCAAAGCCTGTCTTCCTTCGGGGACAGACGACACGACATCCAAAATGAAAAGGGCTAATTCCAAGCTATCTGGACTCAAGCCAGACAAGAGTTCCATCAATTGAGGAATAGCACCAATGCTCACAATCAAACTCCTAACTTGATCATGCATGCTAATTGATTTGAGAAGACCCAGAGCGGGCAAATGTCCATTAGGGCGTCTCTTATCTCGCACTAGCCTCATCAAAGCAACCAACAAACTATGGCTGGAGACTATTTCTACTTCAAAATCCTTCTCTTCCATCAGCTTTTCAATTAACCTAACACAATTGACTTTCGTTTCAATAGATCCTTCGTTCAAAATATCGATAATTGATGATACCTTTGCAGGCTGCATCAAATTTGTTTTCGCCTCTGAATTTAGAGTCAAGTTCACAAGAATTGCTATAACTTCAGAGCCTACAGCATACGAAGTAAATGGACCAAGTAAAGATGAAAGAAGAACTACTCCACCTTCATCAACCACTGACTTTCTAGCGGTGACATGATCCTTGACAACTTGTTGAAGTTCCTCGAGGGCTTGTATTCTAGCCTGGCTTTTTGCTTTCTTCAGGGTATTGAGAAGCTCTGTTGCCCTTCCCTGTGCATCCTCAGATCTTTTCTTCTTTTGCAAATACTTCTGAGAAAACCAAGTATAGATTAAATGATAAAGAGTCTTGTTTGGAGTTACTGTATCATCCCAAAGTTCTTGCATTGTAGTGGGACAAGTGTAGTGCCCCAAGCTGAACCATTTGAGAATGTTGGATTTCTCATAGGTTTGCCCAGTGCAAAGAGTCACAGGGTCTTGCATTGGTTCAAGAGAAATGGGACAAATAAACACTGATGGAACTTCAGGTAAATTTAGCTCTTCAATCATTTTCTTCAGGTCAATTTTTTCTCCAACTCCTCCACCAAAACCCCCAACTGCAACTTCACCCAAGACTCCATTCTTCACTGCAGTGTCTAGATCTAAGATACGCCCACCCTCAAACCCAACAAGCCCATCTCTCTTTGAAGGTTGATACATAGGCATTTTGTCAAACAACTACTCTTAAATCACCCAATTATTGAATGACACAAACCCCTCGTAAAAAGACTCTCCAAAATATCCACATCAATAGCCTTTCAAGAAAGCACATTACATCTAACAACAACTACACGCGAGAGATGTGAAAACAAGATAACACTCCCTGAAAGGGCAACCATGTACGCTTTCAAAGGGCACACCTTCTCTCTCTATTTTCACTTTTCGTGGTCAAAAGACTCATCACCATCACCATATAACACATCATATTGCATTCATAATCAACACTCTTCCCAGAAAAATTAAATCTTTCTTCACATTCAAACCACAAAAAAGAGTTGAATCAGGGAAAAACGGTAGGAATCAATGCAAATCTAGGCCAAGAAAAATCAAACTTTCACCAAACTACAACACAAGTGAAGAAAAAGTAGATACCCAGATCAAAAATAACTGTGAAGATGAGTATTCAAAGGGCAGAAAAGAGAGAAATAGAGAAGACTGAAGACTCCTCTCTGCTGAGCAGTCTTACCTTTTCTTTGGTAGCCAGATATCTGTGCTGCATTGAGTCTTGAAATATAAAATAATGATTTGTGGGAAAAAAAAATATCGTCTTGGAATAACCAATTATTCGAATTTCAATATAATTTTACAATAAAGAAAGATTGGAGATTCAGTAAATTATTTTTTGTGAGATAATATAATCAAAAAGTTGCAGCTAAACACTTGACCGCGGTGACAGTTTTGCTTTGACCGTACTCCTCGGCCTTTTCCCGTGTGGCTTACACTGGACTGCTTTAGCCGGGTGATGTGTTCCACCGTTATCCAGACATTTTGAATTTATTATAAACCTACATTTCACTTAGAGCTATAAATAAAAATCTCGAATCGAAATTCATTTTTTAAAATTTAAGGATGGTAAAGGATGGGTATCCCACCCGTCGGGAATTTTCAAGAGGTGAGATGGGATCAATAAATTCTCATTTTTTATCCAGCTTAATTAATTAATTAAATTTAAATATAATTTTAGTAGGAAAATATTATAAAATAAATAAATTCAGGACGGAATGGGAAAAACCGGGGTGTGGACCATATTACCGTCATCGCTTCAGTTTGATGTCACGTGGGCCAATCAAAATAATGACTTTAAACTAAAACGGTTTTGTTTATTATTTTAACTTCAATTTAAAATCAAATCAAACCATTTAAAAGGACGATAAAAGTATATATACATATATATATATATATACACACACACTAGATGCAAGCAACATGCAATGCACGTTTGCCTAATTTATATTTAATAGTTTTGTTTAAGAATTAATTTGTTATTAATAAAGATGTAATTTTTTTGGTTAATTAAATAATTAATGATGTAATGTTTATGTAATTGATAAATAATTAGATGTGTGATTTTGATGTTGTGATGTAAGTTGGTGAGATCGAAGAAAATAAGCAAAAGTTGACAAATTTGGAGAAAGGGCTAAATTGTAAGGGATCCAAAGTTCGGGGACTAAAATGTAAATACTTAAAAGTTGTGCCGAACCTCACGATGAAGATTTGAGAGTGCTCGGAGTCAATTGGATAAAGGAAGACGTCAATGGAATCAGATTTAGTCAAAAGATGATCACAAATCAATTTTCAACCGAAAAGTTATGCTCCGATGTTTTAGTCTCATATTGAGACCTATTTTTGGCATAGAAAGTGATTGAATTGGAGAATGATATCTGAATCAAAGTTGTAGCCAGATGAGTTAGCTTTCCAACGCATTTTGAATCGCCTCAATCGGATATCGGAATACAAAGTTATGATAAAAACACTGAAAGAAGGTGCAGCTGCCTGTTTAAAACAAGAAATTCAGTTACATAATCCGTTGAAACAACAAATTCCGTTAGTTTTTCCGTTAAAAACAAGAAATTCCGTTACATAGCCACTTTTAATAGATAGAAGATATTGCTTGACATTGGTCCAAATTCGACATGGATCGTAATGATAAATTACAATCTTAATCTCCAACTTAAGGTAAGTCCTAAAATTTTAATATAAGCCTGCCATTATTTTGTTAAAATTGAGTTTTGAATAATGACTTTTTAAAGATATATGTAGTTAAAAAGTAAGAAATTATTTTGATTTTACGTGTAAAATATTTTATTGTGTAAATGTGTTATTGAAAATGAGTATGAAAATTAAATAATTTTAAAATAATGATTGTCAAACAGAAGCTAAATATGGACAGTTTTGTAGACATCTACAATTATCCTAATGTGAAAACCCAATCAATCTATCATTAAATTGTGACAAAGACGATGATGATGATGATGATGAATATCTTGTTGGGGAGTATCGAGTTGTATCGTGACTATATATATATATATGTGTGTGTGTGTGTGTGTGTGTGTGTGTGTGTGTGTGTGTGTGTGTGTGTGTTAGAATTTTATTACGACTGCATCGGCTTTACTTTGTACATTTTGTTATGTAAAAAAGGTGAAAGAAACGGCTTTATAGTACCATTTTGTAGTTTTGTTTGAATTTATTTCTATAATTCTATTTATTTTATTTCAAATAAAGTAAATAGACATTTTATAATCAATGGAATTTTAACATTAAAGTAAACATGAAAGAAAAAATATGCGTCGAAATCACGATTTAGAACCGAACAGTATGGTTTGAAAATATGTTCAAAATTGCCCAAGCTGGAATACTTGCACCCTTAATTTCACTCATTTAATCAATTGAAGTTCAATACTTCTATTTTACCAGCTAGAGATATTTTTCAAATATTAAGCATTATTTATATATTTATGAACCATGCTACACTTACAGAAAATAAGGGGTTGGGTTAGTTTTTTAATCATTTTTTAATTTAGTGGGTCCCACACATTTGTGAGTATTGGTAAAAAATACAGAAGAAACAGTTTTGTACAAACTGGAAAACCCTATATTTATATGGTTCCAAAAATTATATTTGACAACAAACTACTCATGTCTGACATTTATTTCTTAAAACTCAAAAAAGGAAGAAACCAAGTGCAAAAGTGGAGAAATCCACTTTATCAAATTTGATTGCATTTGTTACGACTACACCAAATGATATATTGAAACCCTAACATACATCATATATGTATTGAAACCCAAGAAAAATGGTGGGCTACAAGATCAAGCATCTCCATTACTACCACATAACCCAAAAATTCTTATAATTTTAGTTTCACTATTTATGTCATGCCACAAAATTTTCGGGTTGGGTCAAACAGAATTTGCATCGCCGTATTCTAACACATTTTAAGATCCACAATAATTATCAACTTTTTAACTGCACATTTCACCAATTTTTATCAAAATCTATTAAAAATATAATTTTTATCCAAACCAAACTTGGGCTAACTAAGAATGAATGGCTTGCATGAGGTTCACCCCAAATAGAGCATCGTGTACGTGAAACAAAGTCATCCTTCCTACACTTGAGTTAACAAGTGTAGAGAGGGTGTGTTTAAATGAATTCTAAGATGTTATGAAAAAGAATGTGGATAGATTTATAGATATAGTATTTTGTGGTGCAAATATAACTGAACTACAACACCAAAGACTCTAGTCTCTAGCAAATTTAAGAGTTTTAATGCTACTAACTTCTTATCAATAGCTTTGTCAAACAATCCTCTAATATAATTGAATATACTCTGCGTTAGTTTGAGACGTAACAAGACTCTAGTGGTGAATCATAGTGTAATTGAGTTGACATGTTAGGGCAGGCTCATATCTTGGGGTGAGCTTCACGGCACAAGTTCAAGGTAATTTGGGAAGTTGTTGTACGCATTGACCCTTTGGTCTCGTGCTTGGGTGACAATATTGGTAGGAAAATTTTTAATTTTGACATTGGGTAGGAGGTTGTCCAAGGTCAAGGTGATTTCTAATTAGGAGCTTGGAGAGAAGTCTGAAATATACCAAGCTTACGGTCAAGTTTGGTTTGAGCAATTTTAACATTTCAGATGTTATATTGTACTTATGTAGTATATTGGCTTGTAATATCGTGTGCATGTTTGATGAGAGGGACAAAACATATCATTTTACACAATAATGTCCACAAGTATGTACATACCTCGAATGTACAATCATGCAACATGAAGGTAGGATAGTTTAAATGTGCAATTTTAAAACACTTTGATCTGGTCACTTATCTACATGATTGATCGGACACTCATACGTGACTGATGTACAAAAGAAATGCGATCAACTATTCTTGACCGTATTAACAAACTACTCATGAACCTCTTTGAAGATCGAAATAATCTTCGGTTAACATGCTCCTCCTTACAAGGAACTAGTTCTTTCCCATAAGCAAAGTTTATACTCATAGAAATTGGTGTCAATTCAAACACAACACACGATTGAATGTTGCGTGCTATGTCCAACTCTTCATAGTATTGTTGAAACATTAATAACTCACACCATTAATGATTTGGTATGATATGACATCTACTATGTGTAAAAGTTATTTCCATAAGTATTTCATATCCGATGGCAACATTATGCTGTATTTTATGATTTAGGTAAGAAATTGGACCAATAAAAGATACATGATAGCATTTAGTCCATGTTTCATGTAGTTAAAATCAGATTTTTAGTAAGTTTTAATAAAAGATTATTAAATTTGTGATTAAAAAGTTGTGAATTTCATAAAATATATGATTAAAATTAATTATCAACTTTAATTTAAATTTTTAAGATTTTAAAAGTGCATTTTCCCAATTAATTATTTCAGACTTTGAAGGGATGCTTTGGAATTAAATAATTACAGACATTTTCGGATTACCGGAGACAGCGGGTAGGATAAATACACATAACACACTGCCATTGGTTCACGTGAAAAGTCAAGTTCATTTTCGGACTTCAGTAAAGTGGGTACGTCTGAAATGACAATTTTGTCCCTATTCACGTACCATGGTACCAAGAGAATATATTCCACCGTAATGTATTTTGTATTTTGAGTTTTGAATTTATTTTTTGCTCCGTGT